CGTTGAACAGCTTCGAATCGTCCACTCCATACAGCTTGGTAGGGATTCCAGACAACACATGCGAATTCCAGTAGTGAGCGTACCAATGAACAGTAAAGGGCTTTAAAACACAGACGATCACGAAATTCCTTAGATATCTTGAACATGAATACAAGCTGTCGATTAGCTTTGTCGATCGTGGTTGAGAAGTGGCGAGTGTATGTGAGCTTTTCATCCAACATGACACCGAGGTCTTAAACGTGATCGACACGTTGAACTGCAGTTCCAGCAACGTTATAATCAAACAAAATGGCAGTCCTAGTTCGACGGAAACTAATTACGCAGCACTTTGAGACGCACAGGACCATAAAATTACGTTCACAACAATCATTTCAAGAAGGTTTTGTAGTTCTAAACAGTCGGCATAGCCTCGAACGACATCAGTAAAAATCGGTAAAAAACAATTTACCTCCACGTAGTAGAATAAACGTTACATCGTTCACAAATAAAGAGAAGAGCATTGGTCCCAAAGTGCTACCCTGTGGAACTCCTGATCTGTTCGAGAAACAGTACGATGAGTAGTTTCCAATGCATACAGTAACTTCACGTTGCACGAGGTACGATCTAAGCCAGCTGCAGAAGGAAACAGAACATCCAATTTTTTCAAGCTTTCCTAGCAGAACGTCGTGCACAACTCTATCAAACGCAGCTTTAAGATCAGTGTAGATGGCATCCACTTGAAGTTTCTTGCATACATTTTCCATACAGAACGACGTAAAGCTGACGAGATTAGTTTCCACGGAGCGGCCAGGAAAGAAACCATGTTGACATGTACTTATGTAATGCTTGCAGGAAGCAAACAATCTCTCATTTATCAGCGACTCAAACACCTTAGGAAATTTCTGTTGACGAAGTGACAGGTTGAAGAGCAAGGACAACGGAGCAGCTAAGATATCGGAGCATTTTTTTAGGACTACAGATGGAATAACACTCGGACCTGGTGAAAATGATGATTTGGTTTTACTCATCACAGAGAGAACCATTTGTACATCTACGGCAAAAACATCCATGTTTACGACGTCGGTTGGCACATCACGGACGGCTCGCTCAATTTCTGCTTGCGATGGGGAGTCATTCGAGAAGACGCTTAAGAAGTGCCTAGCAAATAGGCTGCATTTTCCTCAGTTGTCAATGCTACGTCATTGCCGAGAGACATTTTTGACGGCAGTCCAGTTTCCTTCCTCTTAGTATTCACAAACGACCAGAATCCCTTGGGGTGGCATTGCAGATGTTGAGTACGAATTACATACCTCTTGTAAAGAAGCTTGTTGTAGTGGCGATAATCATTGCTGGCAATTGAAAAATTTCGCTTGGTAAGAGTACATCGTCGATGAGTGAGAGCACGGAGAGCTCTAGATCGCACTCGTTTCAGGTTGCGGAGAGTAGCGTTAGACCAAGGCGGTTTTCTTGGAGGTTGGCACTTCGGTACTGAAGCACAAACACAGTCGCGCAAAAGGCTATTATAGCGAGCGGCTGCTGTATCGATATCAAGGTCATTCAACACGTTCCAGTTTATCCGGGACAAGGAACGTCTCAGCAAACGGAAATCGGTCTTCCGGAAATTGAGCCGAGTGGCAGTCATGGTTTCATCAAAACGAATTTGAGATCCGTTCGCGATAGATATATCCAAAGCAGGGTGGAAATTGTCAAGAGGAACGATGACATCAGGCGCTTCAACGACGACACAGTCCAGAAGTGCACTTTCGCTAACAAAAACCAAGTCAAGAAAACGAGACTGGAAATTGGGAACAAGGTTTATCTGGCTCAGTCCATGAAAAGCCGTGCCGTCAACAAGCAAGCGGCTGGCAGGAGTAGTTGAAGATGCAATCGGATTTGGAAACGCATAACCCTGGCCTGAGGGTGACCAGCTAAGCCCAGGCTGATTAAAATCACCAAGCAGAAGAAGCACATCCGTTATATCAGCCATGGACGATGAAAATTCTGTAGCATCCAGATGAAGCTGCATTGTGGTGCAGTCATGTCGACGTTCAGGGGGAATATACACCGCTCCAATGAGGATGTCCCACGAAGTGAGGCTGACCTTAACCCAAACCGCTTCAATTGTAGTAAATAGTTCGTTGGAGATTACGCAGGAGGCGAATTCGTTGGAAACAGCGATGAGCACACCACCACCGCGAGTACGAATGCTGTTGGATGAATTACGGTCTAATCTGTAGACAGTAAAAGAGTCACCAAACAGTTGCACTGAATTGATCCTCCCATCGAGCCAAGTTTCCGTGAATACATAAACGTCATATTCCCCGTCAAGCGCAGCCAGATGAACAACGTCCAATTTAGTCATGAGCCCCCTGGTGTTCTGATAGTAGACACGTAAACCGCTAGAGGGTTCGGTGCGAGCCGTGTCAATGATAACTTGTCCAGGATCCGCACGAGAGAACGGTGAACTATCAGGCAGCGAAAGATCACCTGACGTAGAAAGGCTCGAAGTGGTGGCCATAAGCGAAGATGAACTGAAACGAAGTGGCGGATCAACCAGTGAATTCACATGGACGAGTTCATACTTGCCGTAAACGAGTGGTTGGAAGACCCCTTCACCAGGCCCGCACACAGGGCCGGGACGGCTGCAGGTCGCTGGCGGGAATGGCTCGACTGTGGCGGGGGCTCGGGGGCTTCCATGATGCCAACGGCAGTGCGTCCCAGTAAACAAACAGAAGTTGATTCATCATAATGGTGTAAGTCGTCAATCTTCGGCAGGACTAGATCAGAGGAGCTGAATGCTTCTTCCGGTCAATTTTCTGTGGAGCGTCTCGGCTTATGGTATACTGTTAATGTTATCTTCAGACCACAATTGTCGAGGAGCAGACATGTACAATGGCAGTAAAAACATTCCATTTTATGTAATAGTCCGTTCGAAACTAAGCGCAACCCTACTAATTATTGTAAAGTGCGGGTTGTGCTTAGTAGGCCGAAAATTAGATCTAAGCCTTACATCATCATTTTTGTTATTAGATTCGCCATGGGGACCTCATAACCTAGTCAGTAAAGGCACGGAATTACCATACCGGAGGCGGCGGGTTCGGTTCCCGGTCCGGTCGAGGGAATCTTTCGGGTTGAAAATTTTCGCGACTTCCCTGGGCATATAGTATCATTGTGCTTGCCACACAATATACAAATTCATGCATTGATGCTGGCATCGAAAGCTCTCAATTAATAACTGTGGAAGTGCATTTAGAACACTAAGTTAAGAGCACGCAATAAGCTAATATGTACTAAGCAATAAGCTTGAAATGCGAATAAGAAGAAGAAGTAGATTCACAAATCGCGATTTCACACTGCGATCATTGCACTTCAAAATAAAACTTCGTTAAAGATTCACCTTAAAATTAGCAATATCTAACCCCATGTAAATCTTCAACGTCTGTTAAAACCTTACAGCAATACAAACAATAGCACGTGGCCAAATCGTGTGAACGGGGAAAATGTCGCAATCTAAACAACATACATTCTGGATAGCGAGGTGTCATTAACTCAAGTACTAATCCATTCATATCTCGTCACGTCCAAATCCGTCTGCTGCTATAATGAATGATAAAATAATTCGTTTATATTGTGGAAGCGGTTGTCCATATCATTGCGACTACTACTGGTAGCGAACCCATCAAAGCTCTCTAGGGGATTATTGTTGGTTTATCATACCTATACCTATACTTATACCTACCATGAACAGACGATAGTAGGAAAAGGAAAAAGATCAAAAGTAACAATAATCTTCCCATATGTAATCCAACTGTATTAATTATGATACTGCACAGTGCAAATCACGTCAAATCTTTAGCATACAACACATTGCATGCTAAATGGGAATATACCTGGCACTTTAGCACACCTGGATAGTGTGAAAATGTCCATCAAATAATACTGCATTCGTAAGAGGCATTATTTGATGCATGGATTCCATCGTGAAATTAATTTAATAATATCCAATGACATGAACCAAGCAGGAAGAATCGAAGTTTAAAGCTTTCCCCTCTTTTGCAATTAGTTCAATTAAAATTGCAATTAATTTTCCACTTCTTCCATATGGTTCCACTCAAAGTCCCATGATTGATCCATCTTCCCGATAGTCATGGTTGCAATGCTTTCTACTGTGCTGGAGTTGCATTTCCTCCACTATTCACCACATTTCCCATGATGGCACATGGTGCTTCTTATCATAAGCGTAAGCTCTTCGGCGATCATCGCTGGTTGCAATTTAAATAATATCCCGTTTAGCTGTCAATTTGTAACGCCATTTGCGGAAAAATTGCGACATTACCGGTCTCGGACCGGGTGTCATCCATCATGTCGTGCCGTGGGGCCGGATGTCGACTTTCTCAGCTGGCTGCGTGGGTCCTAAGGTGTTTGTCGGGAACTGGGCACATGTTGTCCACTTCAGTGATTCCGTAATTCATTACCATGGCTGTTGGTGTAAACGCGCGCCTGTATGACATCTGCCTACGCGGTGAATAGAGACATGGGGCACGAGACTCGTAGCGTCGCGTCGTCCACCGGGGCCAACTGACCGGTTATGGAACGCTGCACAAATCTCATTGTCTGTTGTGTGTCTTCAATTTCCATTCTGTTGGCTCGTCGTTGTGTCAATATTATCGCACCGGCAGCGGTCAACGACGATTGTTACGGCCATACGGGATACACCGGCAATTACCCATCGCTGGTTCAGGTGTTGCTTGTACGAATGAGCCTGCTGAGAGTGCGGGGTTAAATGAATCAACCTATAGGACGAAACGACGGGTTTTCAAATCATACTCCACATTCCCCTATTCCTAACATCACAACACATCATTTTGATTCGAATCGAAACAAAAGACTAAAATAATTACGATGCACTTGAGTCCATTCAGGTTCAGCGCGTTGCCTATTTACTATAGTATACTTTGGCGGTACACATTTGCAAATACGAATTCTAACAAACCCCCTCTTACATTTTCTTCTAATTTCAGCCCTGGTCCCAGCCCGTTACATTCTGGCCGGGCTTGGTTCTATCGCGATGGCTATCATTTATGGACTGAAAGTGAACCTGAGCGTGGCCATGGTGGCCATGTTGAACCACTCGGCATTGGCTCACAACGCTCCGATTCACAAGATGTCCGAAATGCACAGCACCGATGAGGTCTGCACCCAGTCAGGCAACACGACCGAGGCCATAGAGGTAAGATGTTTTCCTGTGGGGAGGATGGTCCCCAATGCTGGCCGCCCATACACCCCTAATGTGGGCCCTTGGAGAAAAATCGTTTTTGTTTTCGAATTTTCCTGGACCTGGTATGAACCAATTGAAAGGTAAAAAGGGCAAGCGTCTGTTGATCAAGAGTAATCGACAAAAAATGGCTCAATTTAGTACTTTTAACTGGACCCATATTAGGGGCGCATAGGCCTGCGTTAGAGACTCGTCCTTCATTTTTTCTGTTGTTTGTTTGTAATCTAACACACCGAGGCATGCAACATCATATAACCAAAAAAACGACCGATCTATAAAAAATGAAAACGCTTCCTTAAGCTCTAAAGCATTCCCTAATAAACAAATACAATAAACGAAATGTATCCCGGATGGGTAAACTATCCCACAAATGGTTTGGATGATACCCCGAACACGTCGTTAAGCTCTATTTTATGGCTTTTTTTATTAGGATTCACCGGTACTAAAATGCGATTTTAACTTACAAAACGCTATGAGCAGTTCCAGGGCAAAGGGCAAGAAAAGATATTAATAGACTCGACCTTTACATATTTGCATAAAACAGTGACGAATTATTTGTTATCGACATTCATTCACATTTGTGCTTAAATTCGGCCATTTTGAAACATGCATAATAATTCAAAATGGCGTATTGTATATTTTCAATTAATTGAACACGAAAACGTCACTTCTAATCGAAATGACATCTGAGACAAAGTTGTAGGTAAACATAAGGTCTTTATTGAAAATATGTTACGTTAAAACTAAAACATCATGATTTTGAGTTAAAACCGAAAAAAGTGTGTTTAAGACTTATATTAACAATAAATATATCTCTTCATTTTTTATATTTTCCATTAAAAAGCTTATTCAAAATGCAAACTGCTGTGAGTATTTCAAAGTGCTATTTTTTTCTTTATTAGAGTGACTTTCAGCCACTGGCTGGTTCGTCACTTCCAACTGCTATATTTAAAATTGACAAAATATAATTGAAGTTCAAATTTTGGATAAAAATTTTAACTCCTTTTTTTATAAAGGGTGATACGGTCAAAATTTGGTCAATATCAACTTGACGTATTTCTTTCAATTTTGCATTTAAAAAACCTGAACACCCCTCATTTTGAAGGTGTGTGTGTGTAGAATGTTGCTCCTATTTTGATTTTGGAATTCACTCTTCAGTTGTCAAAATGCCGTCCAAGCAAGAAGAGCAGCGTATCAAAATTTTGCTCGCGCATCGCGAAAATCCGAGCTACTCGCACGCAAAGTTGGCAGAATCGCTAAAAGTTGCCAAATCAACCGTTACAAATGTAATTAAAGTGTTTGGGGAACGTTTGTCGACAGCCAGGAAGTCTGGATCGGGGGGAAATCGAAAACCGGAAGCCGCTGAGACGACAAAGAGAGTTGCCGGTAGTTTCAAGCGAAACCCTAACCTCTCTCTCCGAGATGCCGCAAATAAACTGGGTGTATCGTCTACAACCATGCATTGAGCCAAAAAACGAGCTGGACTATCGACTTACAAGAAGGTAGTGACTCCAAATCGCGATGATAAACAAAATACGACGGCCAAAGCGCGATCCCGGAGGCTGTACACGACGATGCTGACGAAGTTTGACTACAAGCAGCTTCCGGGACAGGAGTTTTATACGGCAAAAGGAAGGGGAAAGGTAGCAGATGTTTTCAAGCACATGAAACTGTCAAAGTTCGCAAAGAAATATCTGGTTTGGCAAGCCATCTGTACCTGTGGCTTGAAAAGCAGCATTTTCATAGCTTCCGGGACTGTCAACCAAGAAATTTACGTGAAAGATTGTTTGAATAAACGTCTGCTGCCTTTCCTGAAGAAACACGGTTGTTCCGTACTGTTTTGGCTGGATTTGGCATCTTGCCATTACGGTAAAAAGGCCATGGAGTGGTACGCCGCCAACAACGTGCAGGTGGTTCCCAAGGACAAGAACCCTCCCAACACGCCAGAGCTCCGCCCATTGAGAAATACTGGGCTATTGTCAAGCGGAACCTAAAGAAGACCAAAAAAACTGCTAAGGGCGAGCAGCAGTTCAAGGCAAACTGGCTTTCTGCGGCGAAGAAGGTGGACAAGGTGGCTGTACAAAATCTGATGGCAGGGGTCAAGCGTAAGACCCGGCAATTCGGATTTGGAAAAGCGGAAGCCTAACTGAATATTTTTCCTGAATTTTATACTAATTGAACTTGAAAAAGAAATTTAATTTGATTTTTTAAATAAACGATTTCACCGATTTACACGCGTTTTCCCTTGACCAAATTTTGACCGTATCACCCTTTACACAAATAAATTGTTAAGTCATTTTATATTGTGCACAAATTACAAAAAAATCATAAAAGATGTTAAATTTTTTACCAAAAGTTGATGTAGGGGAAATGGATGTAATGTCGACCAAAATGCCCCTAATTTAATAAATATCCATTAATACCGTCCCAATGACTCGTTCAACTACACGCTGAGAAAAAAAACCATATAAATTTAGGTGCTCTGAGACTGGCATATACGAACGTCAATTTTGACATAAAATTTAGTCATAGCAGAAGCAAAAATTACCTCGATAAAACGTAATTTTTGGTCGAGAAACGATCTGTTCAGTCTTGTAGTACTTAATTTTACATGACATGTTTGTTTACGACTCATCCTTTATGTCAAAAATGAATTCCGTCACGTATAAAATTAGTTATTTTCAAGCGTGTAGATAAAATTGATAAAAAGCAGATTTTTTGCATTAGGCCAATAAGCCAACATTAGAGTCATTTCCCCAAAGGGTAAGTCACTCTGCCACATTGTGTTAACACTCACAAAAACACACTTCGACACACTTAAAACACCCACAAACACCATTACCATAGAGGTAACTCTAAGACCAGAAGGTCCCTTAAGAAACGTGCTCAACTTTTTGGCTCAGATCTGGTACTTTCTTCGGTCCCAAGCTAATCGATGCACCCCTCGAAATCTAGGAAAATCCACGAACCCCTCATTTTATCTGTCAAACTTTCATAGCGAATCAAAACAAACATAGTGTAGTACTAGAACTTCGACTAGAATAGGGTGCGTTAACCTATTTGCTTGGGATCAATGGGCCAGTCTAGTAGTGAGCAAATTTAAAATCATTAGTTTCCACCGGTTGCCATTACGTCGCATGATAAGCAAATTTTTGACGTAGGACTACCTCTGTGATTTCCATATGAGGGTACACTTTGTGAAATCTGAAAATGGAACATGTAACTAAATTATGCAAGATTTTAAACGTTAATAACTCAGCTGCCCCTGGCCCAATTTCAATAATTTTATCACCAATCGATCAGATATATTTCTACGCATTTGTGAAATTGAAGACTTTATCATTTTTCAAAATATCACTATTGAAAATTGCACGGATGTGCAACTGTTTCTTTGATAATTAAAATTATCACTAATTGCCTGTGAAAAGCGATTTCCCCAACACAGATTTCAAAGTTGAATTCCATCCGGGCACACCAAACGGTGTTTATTCAATCACCGCGTGATGAGTGGTGATGTTCTCCAGTACACAACGAAAGGTTCCCCACAAACAGCTAGCTACCAAGGCTGGCCTCAACTGCTGATCGGATTCAGTTCCAATCACCATGTTTGGTGGTGTCCGGTCGTCGGCATCAGCAGCAGCAGTGCTTTCAGCGCGTGGCGTTGAACATTGTTCTCCAGTACACCACGAAAGGCTATCTGCAAGCAGTGAGCTGCAGCCCACATGAGCATCCATAGAAGGAGGAAGAAGCCGCACCGCTATTGATCGGAAACAGCAGCTCTTCGTGAGTTGCTGTGGGCCATCTATGTCAAGCGCGTTCACCCTCGATCCAAACAACATACAGCTCACCAGCCTTATCTGTGTTTAACACCCTAATAGCTCAGTATTACTCAACCATCACGACAAAACGGTACATTTCAGGACCACCATAAATTTGTAGGAGAGTATTTTTTTGACATTTGTCAAGGTCATCAATCGGATGTCAGTTTACAAAAGCTGTTACGCCTAATTCCAGCTCTACCTAGATATGTTTAAATCTAACATACCATGTACTTTAAGGCAACATTGGGGGTGCGATTTCAAAAACCAAAGTCGGTCGCGGCATGAAAGTGGACTGATTTTGATCCAGAGATGATAGATTTTAATTCTTCATACGTCAATCGATAGGATTTTTTTCTACGAATCTATTAAAATTAAGACTTTATCATTTTTCAAAGTTTCACTATTGAAAATTATAACTGATGTAAGAACTCAGCACTCACCAACTACCTACTCGGAGATCAAACATACAGCACCCGGTCGACTCAGGTGACAAGAGCAAGCTCCGGAACACCCAGGGTCGGCTAACTACCGGGTAATCAGACGGTTTCGCGATACAAAAACGAAGAACTTTCACTTTTCTTTAAATGCATTTATTGGCCACTTTCTGTATTATGTGCGTGTTGTTCTGTGTTCATAGTTTCGTGTAATATGTGTCGTGTAGCCTAATCGCGTTGTCCACTGTACCGGTACATACCGCTGCTGCCGTTGATGGTGAATCGTGTCGTGATGGCCGTGAATCGTGTCGTGATGACAGTGACTCCTGTCCTACTGTGCGGCCGGAACTCTCGCCAGATTGGCGAAGCGACCGGTTGAAAGGCCAGCGGGCGTTGCTGGACGGTGGGATGGCAGGCGTCGTCCTTCGTTGGCACGATCGGCCGACCGTGGCAAGGCCACCTTTGTCAAGCCGAGAAGGGAAAACTCCTTTACGATTATGGCCTACGTTTGGCCAGATAATATTGTTTGGCCCTTGACAATTGGGCTCGGAAACTGTTTCCAAGTTTACGAGCCGGCCGTGTGCTGACGATAACCTTTTTAAGGTCCAACATAAAAAAGAAGTCCTGAACGTTAGCTTGCCCTAGCGCACCTAGCTGCTGCTAAGGGGGGTCCTGGTTCACGGTCTAAAACACCAACCAC